GATCAGTTTACTAAGATACTAAGACCTGAACACACAGCCTATATTACAGAAAAATAGCTTGCACAAGAGAATTCATGTGAGTCCCCAGTATTTACATAGGCAAAATAAAAACAAATTTATTACATGAAAAAACACTATAGAAAACGGACCCAAGCTCAGTGTTGTACATGAAAAATCAACCCCAACTTGACATTTTATTGGGATTCGATAAACCTCCTATCTCTTAGTGATTGCTACGTGATAGAAAGTCAAGTCTTTCCAGGCTCAGCCCTGAGGTTTTTATGACTGAGGTCCCAGGTCTGGATGATTTGTGCAAAACACCTGGCGGCGGACTCTGCTGCCTAGCAGCCAGCATCCCAAGGGACCCCCTTATCCAACCCCCCATTGGGTGTTTGGAGACAGTAAAGAGCGAGCCTAGTGGATGTGATGTGCACGTTCATGTGTGCTATTTCACCCCTCGCACTGTTCATACAGAGCATATCTCTGCTGTTGGTATTCAGAGCCGGGTTTCCAACGATGGAGAGAACACAGGTATGCAGTAAACAGTATGTAGTGAACCATGAAGCTTCTCAGTCACCTCTAAAGGACAAGGTTGTAAATTCTGCGCTAGTATCACCAGTGTTTGTATGACTGATTGATGATGTTCTGGATGTTTCGCAGTATTGACGGAGGCATGTTTGGGCTTGTAGAGTACCTGGCTGTGGTGAATGAAGATCGATAAGCTGCTGGTTTGGGTGGGGGGGGGGTTGATGGAGGAGGCATGAGTAGCCTGAACAGCGGGATGGCTAGCAGACAAACTTGAGCTGTTCAAACTAGAATTCGGTTATTGATGATAGTTTTATTTATTTATTTATTTGTTTATTTATTTTTTAACTCAACTTTAAACTTAAGCCTAAACTCACAGCACCTTTTAATATAGATTTTGCAGCTTAGGATTCTTTGCATTTTTGTGCGTTTCTTCTGTTCATTTGCTTTATTTATTCATTTTTTTTTTATATATAATCTGATATTTCTTGTTTAAAACTACTAAGCTACAAAATGAATTATTTTTTATTGAAGCACTTCACTTTTTTTCCCAAAATTTTACTTATTCAGAGTGGGCTGTTGTGAAATGGTTCTTTGTAGAGAAACTTACCATCTCAGGTTTCTTTACAGTGGTGGTAATAGGAGCCAGGTGTCTACAACACAATAAACCATTTTATATACTATGCAAACAAACAATGAACCTACACATAGTTTTGTATATTCGTTTTAGGCAAAAACCATTTCTCAAAGCTTTCAGAAACGTACATATTTGTACCTTTTTCATGTAATAACTTTGTAAGTTAGCCTTTGGAGGCATTTAAACACTTCAGAAATCTGGTTCCTATCACCACCACTGTGAAAAAAAATCTATGGAATTCACCTTTAAGATAAGCATCTAAAGGAAGGCCATCATGCTCAAACCACTCAAACACTATACTATACCACAGGAAGAAATACTACTAACAACACCACATCACACAACAATGTGAGACATTTCAGACTAGATTCATTCTTCTCCTCTGGTATGCAATCCAGCATTCAGCAACTGCTAATGCTGACCTGATACTGATACCTGGTGTGGGGTCAGTGCTATTTTTTGTGAACAGTTTTCCCTCGCATCGAAGGTGTTCTCGTTATGATATAAAACAAGACAGTAATTATTGGTGCTTTGTCAGCTGGATTTTCACTAAAGCTATAAATTTTGACTTCTTTATAGACCAGTATATCAGTTGTGGGCCACACGGAGAGAGTCAGGGGCCGTGCTGGACAGCTGGAATTTCTAAGAGCACTTTGTGACGTTTCAACAAAGTGCACCAAAGAGCTTTCATTTGATCATCCTCCTCAGCGAAGCCTAACAGCTCAAGCAGGCTGAGCTCTGCTAATCCTCTCTTCTTGCTTTTCCCATGGCCGTCACACATACTGTATGTTGCCTTATGCGAAACAGTCTTATTATGCGTGTTCTGTCTTTTATTATGTAATAAAGTCTACAACAATAACTATAATACTCTGCGTCGTTCTGCCCCCCTGAAGTCGAGAGGCAAGCCTTGACATGCCTTTGATTATTACCTCACCTTTTCTCACAACACATACATTCTGTTCATTCCATTGCACTGAGTTACGTCCACACTGTGTATACTCAGTTCCAGAGAAATGCATCTAAGTGACATGCGACTTTGGGCTTGTATGTGAGCTTATTTGACAGCATAGCTTCTAATGTGTCAATATTTGTGTTCTTTCTGAGAGAGTTGATTTTGCCAAAGGAAGCTGATGTGATGTTCAGTCACGCGCTGGCCTTACCTTCTTCCTCCCTCAGACAGAACTGGTCTGTGTATTTATGGCTTGGCCAAGGTGTGGCTGAGGAGGTGCTAGAGAAGCACAGGTTACAGTATTTGCTTTCAGTGCAGGGTTTCAGCATTCAGGAATTTCAGGCTTGTGAACTAAGCTCTGTGATCTTCATGACTTGTTCTCTGTGTGGGCGTAGGGCTGTATGGTTACAGTAGGGCTTCAACTGTATGAACACTGGGATTGCGATTGTATTGCTACACACTGTGATTGCTATTTGGAGTCTTATTTCAATACATTAAAAATGCACTGTTGAATTAATGTGACATGGCTAAAGATTGGCCTGCATTATTTTGACCAAAATAAATAACTTTTTTTGTAAGATCACGTGAATACCTTGATTCACCAAGCACAGCTGGGATTGGTCAGGATGCTTTGAGCACATAGTAAAAATGTTTTGTGGAATCAGTACGGCAAACATCGCAGTACCGATTAACAGACAATATATTATGAAGCCCTATTCCACATCATGTTTTTAAGATGTTTGATGTGTTTTTCTGTTCTGAAAGCAGTCCTAGAATCGTGAGGTCACTCGTTACGTATTTGGTTCTGATAAACCGGTGCCCTTGCACCCGTCTAACACTCTCTCTATACGTTATCAGTCTCCACCACCCCTATCTCTTCAGGAACCACTCCCTCTCATAGTCAATTCCCATGAATTTCTCTCTCTCACTCTCACTCTCTCTCTGTCTCTCTCTCTCTCTCTCTCTACCTCCTTTTACAGACCCATCACCTAGTTCCCTACCTTGCATCAGCCTCATTCACACCATTTCACCTTTCCTTCCACCTCCATCACCTCCTCCTCGCTGCCTAATTGCATCTTTAGCTGGTCTTGTTCCACCCCTCTGCCTCTCACTTTGGCACTCTCCCCATTTTGTGTACAGACTTTTTCGTCTGTGAGATGCTAGAACAAATATTTTCTTTTATGGAGTCACAGCCCTGCTGTAAAAACGACAGACTTTCCAATATTACAGGGCTCCACCTTGGCCAGCCTTTCCCAGACGTCCCGTAGAAAGCTTTCTCTGTCTCTCTTCCTAGCTGTGTCAGAGCCTTGTACCTTGTTGGTGTCTGGGCCTGTTAAAGTCTGAATGACTTTTGTTTACATCTCAACCACTGAATTATGCAGAAATTTTTACCAAAAATTGGCAGGATTCCATTTTAAGATGAGATACTGATAAACAGTGCAGAGCAGCCAGGAAAGGCCCTCGTGTAATACTTGTTCAGAGTCAGATATTTAATGCCTTTGTTTAAGGCCAGACCAAAAGATGATATATAATTAAATGATGAACGATGATAGCATTCATTATGATTCATAATATGTTATTATTATGCTAAGCTTTTATTACTGGCCCTGCTAGTTTCAGCACAGAGGGTGGCGCAGGCGTCTGTTTTCATTCCTGCCTAGTCACCTCATCTCCAGAATGCTTTTTCTTTTTGATTTCAAGCCAGTGCAGATAGGCAGAGTATCTGGGGCAGAAGGCAAGGCTGGGGGATGACATCAGTCTGCATGAGCAAAGTGTGTTGTAATCACAGCTGCATGCTCCAAACATTACTAGCCTGACTGCTGTGCCTCCGATCCTGTTGGAAAGCCATATCCCATAGGTTAAAAGATGCACAGAACACACAAAGCCTTTGATTAGGATGGAACAGCAAGGACAACAAAGGGCTGACGCAGAAAAGGACTGTCATTACTGTATGTGTACAGATGGGGCTGAATCACATCCGTGCTCTAAATCCACATGCCGTTTTACTGCCATGCTCAGCTGATGTATTCCGGGCCCAATCCGCAGTGAACATGCTCCACTTTGTTTGCTGTTCCCCTTAGGAAACAGGTTACAGCATTAAGCCTGAAATCCCCTTTCAGTATTCCAGATAAAAAATTGAGGTTGCTGGAAATCCTGCTGTGAAATGAGGTTAGTTAGGCCCGTGACCCAATGTAAGAGATGTGCACCCCCTTGTGGTCATGTGAAGCCGTGCTCTAGAGCCATACAAGCTTTGTTAGAAAAGGGGCAGGGCCAGATGGAGGCCTGTGATGGGCGGGGCTGTCATAGTGCCATGTGATTGGCTTTCATAGCCTCCATGCAGAATAACTATGAATATGATTGGAGGGAGTCCTGGGCCTATGGGTGCATCTGGGCTTGTGCTTCACCACAGTAGGAATTTTCCTCTCCCATTTGAAAAAGACAGAATATTTGTGACCGTTGCTGGAATTTTCCATCAGCCGCTATATGATACAAGCTGTGGTCATTAGTTTGCTGTAGGCAGTACCTTTAAAATGAAAGGAGTACTCCAGCATCCTTCAGTCTAACCTCCATCAGCTGCATTTGTAGCATACGATCAGTTACCACTGATAGTTTTGATGCATTTCTCTGATAATGTTCCCGCCCATTGGCTTCTATTACAAGTGCATGCTGAGTTACTGTGTTTTCTGTTCTTGTTTTAGTACAGAGACTTTATTGGTTGTAACTGACTGTACTATACGGATGCCGCAGATAGAGACTAGGTTGTAAAACCATTAGGGGATTTTACATGAATCTTATAAAACTGTGGTTGTGTGTCAAATTTTATCTCGAATATTATTCTTTGTTTTTGTCCAATATATTCCAATATACCAATATATTCCTCCTTCGCAGGAGCGCTTTGCGGAGATCTTCGGGAAGGATGCCGCAGCAGAGAGCAGAAGGTCACAGGAGAGCTTAAAGAAGTGGCTGCTGGCAGGAATGATCCTTTCCACAGGACTCGTGGTGGGCTCCCTCATCGCTCAGAAGCGTCTGTAAGCAGGAAGAGGATTCACTGAAGACTCAGCCTCACCCTCCTCCCAGCACAGACCTCGGGCAAACAATGAAGGAACTTAAACCCTCTTTAAAGTTTAAAGTTTGGTTTTTGTTTTTATTTTATTGCCAAGAATTGTCATGTTTACACCCCTCCCTACCACGCTGCACCGTGGACTGCGCGAGTGGCCGAAGCACTTGTAACGTGCATTTGGCTAAGGGGGGTTTGTTTCCACTTGGCCCAAAACAGGGTCAGTTTCTTATGATCTGTAAGTCACTGTCCAGCAAAAATAATTGATTGGCGTTTGTCGAGAATTAGTCCGCCCAGAAGGCTGACTGACTTCTCCTTGTTCTGTGTAGTTATTATTATTATTATTTCTTGCTTCATGTTCAATCTTTTAAGTATGCACATTATTTTCTTCTGTTCAGAAAGAATGGAAAGTAGCAAAGATACAGATCTCTAACGCAAAGAATGCTTATAAGGACAGTACCTGATCACAGGTGTCTCAGCTCATGTTCTTGACCCTTCGTAGGTTTGTTAACCGGGCTAAAGGGACATTGTCGAAGCCCTGCACTACAGTTTAAAGCTTTCTTTTCTGAGTCTTGAAGTGCAACACCTGAGCATGCATGAATAGGCTTGCCTGTGGCATCTTTAACAGAGTGGGACAGTACAAAAAGAAGATCTTTTAGCCATTTTGGTCATTTTTTTTCCAGCAAAATTTGGGTTATGTTACCTTGTTGACATTAAAAAATTGTTGCAGTAGTCAGTGAATAATTCCTGTAGTTTAGTCCCAGAGTAAGCTTAATTTACATTCATCTGAAGGCCCTTGTGGGCCCACACCTGCCCTGAACGTTTGTGGAGTGTGAAGCTAAGTACATTATTAAGCATGAGGGTGTTCAAAAGCTTTGTTTGAGATTCTCAGTTTTCCAGTGGACCAAGTGCTCCCTCACGCATTCTGAGAGACTCTGTTCTGATATGGGCGCTAGTAAGTTAAGTGTCTGTATGTTTGTTTTGTTTTTGTTTTGTTTTTGTTTTTTTAATGTTGCGTTTATTAAATTTTATTTTGTTGAAAGTATGGTTATCACCTATAACTTTCTCTACACCGTTGGGAGTATTGTAAGGAGAGGTAGAATAGGTGCGTTTCTGTGTTAATTGCCACCTTACACTGCATCACACACACATAACATGTAATAACTCATTTTAACAGACAAAAATTAGATTAAATCGCATTGCCACAAGAGTCCCTGGTGTCTTGTGTGATCTTGGAGATGGTGTATGTGATATATGTCTTCAAAAGGCTCAGAATACCATCAGAGCAGGTTGTAGATGTTAACTTAAATACAGCTTAGATAGTAAAACTATACTTGCTTTAGTCAGAATTAACTTGCCACTGATGTATGGTAAATGTTGAAATTCTACTTTGCAATGTGTGTGTGTGTGTGTGTGTGTGGTGTGTGTATGGGGGTGTTTTATATTTTAAGTCTTATGTCCTCATCCAAGATATTTAACACTGCAGCACCAAGTTGGAATCAGCTAACAAACATTCTCATAGAGCTGTCTATCTTCATTTTCCTCCATATTTATTTTTACTGACCATCTGTTCACTTTTCACTGCCATTTACTTCCCATAACTGTTGGCTACCAGTACGTTGAGACCATGGTTTATTTCAAAGGTTTCCCAGACAGGGATTAAGCCTACTCCTGAACTACATGTTCCCATCAGTGGAAAATCTTTTAGACTGATGTGTAGTCCAAGGCTAGACTTAAATCCTGTTCGAGAAATCAGGTCAAAGTCATAAGACGGAAACACACTGGATTTTTAGAGGGGATGTTCAGGCCTATTCGTTTGGTCTTTGACTGGTATCAAACTGAAGGCCAAACTAAAGACCAGACCACATGACCAAACATTTCCCAACACATACATTCTAATGTTGGCAGTTTAACCTAAATTGTCCAGTAGAAGAACTGACCGGCTACATGAACCAGAGTGAACTGGGGGAGATTCCCCTGGCAAGCCAGCACAGGTATGGCACACAAACAAAACATCACTGTGTTTGTTCGTGGTGCTATGGGCTCAAGCACGCGTTTTTGTTTCGCCCTAAGGTTGTTTGCCCATCATGCCACTTCATATATCGCATCCACAGACAGGTGCGACGTTAAAACCCACTAAAAATCTGTCATCTCTCCATCTTCCCGTCTGTTCTTTAACCGGAGCGTTAAACTGTTTGCTCTCGCTGTCATGGCGGCTCTATCCGCTCGTCACTCAGCGCTGCTCCCCCGCTGTTCCGCTCGCTCTCTCGTGTCAAACCGTGAAAAAATTTGAGGGGAAGATAAGAAACCGATTGCTAGGCTTCAAAACACGTTAAATTCAAAAGAAACGCCAAAGTCAAAGACGTGTTTTATTCGCTAAGGGGTTTGTCGAGCATTTTATAGAGGGTAAAGAAGTCAGGCGGAGGGAAACGGCGGTAGAGGTGACTTTCACCGTCTTTAACCCACATAGTGAGATCCAGTGGGGGGAAAATGGGGTTTCTGGGTGAAAACGGCAGACACTTAACCTAGAAACCCACTCATCTATCCAAACGCCTCAAGGTTTCACAGGCTGGGCTGGGTTACAATGTTCTAGTCGTTTTTCACACAGCCCAACTAGTATAGGCCTGTAATTGTGAAGCCCTTAAGGAGGAATTCCCCTGAGTTTTCAAGATGGCTGCAGTCCAGACGTTCAGATGTAAACAAAGTCAGTCAGAGTGGTTTGACGTGACGTGGTTCATTACAGAGATACTTAGCGCCTCAGACTGTGTTTACAGTGGTGCTAATAGGAACCAGGGGTCACAGTGTCCACGATGGAAACTTTACTTACTATCCAAAATGACCACTGAACCTGCACGTGTCGCTGTTGTCAGAGGAAAACCTCATCTCCATTTTCTTGACATAATTTGAAAATACCTGTTGCCCTTTACATTGTGTGTAAACTTCTTGATGAATGGACTAAAAGAAATGACCCAAAATGACTTGAAAAAAGTCTGGTTCCACTGACTTACATTAAAAGTATTTTTTTTTTCCCCCCATCTCTTGTAAAGTTACTATTTTGGAGATATAAAGTTTTGTTCTGACAAATGGTAAAATAGTGGTAAATCAGAAAGAAATCAGAAAGAGTTTTCTTGAGGACTGGTTTGCTTTACAATGACCTGTATTTACCACTTAGCCAGGAATAGATTTAAAAACATAGATCTATGTATTTTAGACCAAAGCCTTTCTCAAATTTGTCATGCACCGTATTCAAGTTTCATTAAAAAAAAAAACAAAACAAAAAAAAACTTTAAAATGAACATGAGGTAGCTTTTAGAGGCACTAAAGGCTTCGCACGTCTGGTTTCAATCACTGGTTGCGAACAGTTTTAATTTTCTCCTGAACAGCACATTTCACATCATACCACTCCAAATAACTTTGTTTACATCTGAATCATTTCTGTGGAAGTTTTGAAATAAGTCTGAAATCAGTGAAATTCCTCTTTAAACAAGAGTGGTTTTTATTGGCACATTCTCAGTACATAACTGAATTAAGTTACATTTTAAAGAGTTTGTGCTAGTATCAGATACCAATGATGGTGTATTTTTTCTTGATCCAGCTAAATTTAACGTTGCAGTCCACAGAGAGGACGTAGAAAGAGCTGGCGTAGCTCTGGGGAAATGTAAAACTGCCCCTTAATGTATATTATCGCTGCTCTGTAGACACTGATTTTACAGAATACATTCCATATAATGAAAATTTGCTGCTTGCATGCTGTGTGTGTTTTGTATGTGCGTGTGTTGAGTGTGTGTGTGTACTGAAGGATTGGTAGTGTGTGAGAAAAGCTTGGCAGTGTGCTTCAGAGTGAAATGACCAGCCTTGGCACGACACTATGTAAACTAGTTAACTTAAATTGACATTTAGAGTAGCATAATTGCGTAGTGAAAATATTTAAAGCCTTCTGATGATTTGAAAATATTATTTATGATATTTGGTGTAAACGCATAGTGTTCTTTCCTATGGCCTTAAAACTCCATTTCTTTGAGGTGTTTTGTTACTCATTGTGTTTGTATTTAGCCAAGTTCACATGAAAATAGGAAGACAAAAAAAGAAACTATTTTTTTAAGCCTTTGGGTTTATTTAAACAACACCATCCCTGAATGAATTGTTTTGTCTTAGGACTAAATGTCTGATATCATTAAAAGTGAATAAAGACCGATTTCAACTCACTACATTCATCTGCGCTTGTGTTCATTAAATGTGTGTGTGTGTGTGTGTGTGTGACTTCGACTGAAATACCAACAAATACCATATTTCCTGGTTAGTTTAACTGTGGGGTTCTTTTTCAGCCTTTGAGAAATTTAATATTAAAAAGCACTGAAATATGACAGGTATGATGAGTTAACAGAAGGGTTAAGGCATAGTAAGTTATACTGAATGATTTATTACACACAACTCTCAGTAGGAGCTTGTTCAGGTCACTGAGTATATTTGGGTTTGTGTCAGCAACATTTTCTCTCACCATAACAAGTGCGGTCACATAAAGCCTCCTCTAAACAAAGTAATAGAATATCAGAGTGGACGGAGTAGTCACACGGATGGGAGGAGACACACTTCATGGCATCAAGTGCAGCAGGTACCTAAACAGGCCATGAAAGGTCAGACTGTCAGCTGCCCTCCCTGCATCTACTTCCACTGGCCCTTCTCATAGTCCCATTTAGAAGAGAAGCCCTGCACTGGGCTCACCCGCATGTCCAGCATTCTCTTCACCTGCTTGGCCTCCCACTCTTTATCAAAGGTACGAGGATGAGGAGGATACACTGAAGAGGAAAAAAAAAATTAATGAAAAATTTGTCTTTTTTGACATGGTCTATTATGGTAACCTAGTTTTCTCATATTGGATAAGGAGTTTTCTAAAACCATCTCTCAGAACTGAGACAGTGAAGAGAAAAATCAAAAGTATTAAATGGTAACAAGTCCCTATAAACAGAAACTTAATCATTATCTAATAGCTTATTAATAAGTAATTTGTTTCTTGTGCTACCATTTGCATTATTAACCATTTTTGTAACCATCTTTGTAAAAGGAACCCAATAAATGATGATTAATGTTTAAAAAAGTGTATTAACTACTTCATAATGATTAATCATTAATAAAATTTATGCATCACAAACAAGCAAGTCAGTAAATATTTTCTTAGTCCTTTAAAACAGGATGTAGACAATTTCCATAATTATGAAATGTTTTATGCAAATGCTTAACATTTCACGTTGCATAATATGTGTTATAAGTCAAATAAACAAAGTTAAACTATGACGACTGATTTCAAAATTAGTGATTATTTGTATGCTACTACCTGTATGGTTAATAATTTAAATGGCACCATTTATCAAAGTATTTAACTATTATACAGTCATATGCAAAACCTTTGGTGCTTTTAAACTTTTCCACATTTTTCAAAGTAAACATCCTCTACAGAGAACACTCTTCTGCACATTTTTAATGCACACTTACTGTTAATTTGCTGAATTTAACACAATGGGGGGAAAAAATAAAATGTGGCCTGTGTAAAAGTATGTTTCCTGTATCCTGTAACTATGTGAACAAAAAAAATAGACCAGGGTGTTAATAATTATACAGGTGCATGCAAAAATTAACAGTCACGAACAAACTATTAGATAATTATTAAGTTGCTGGTTATCAGGACCCGTTACTAGGTACTCTTAATTCTGTTATACTCAAGTTACCCCAGGCCCATGACATCCTAAGGCTTATTATTCAGTAATTACATGAAATGCAATGTAAACTGTCTATTCTTATAGGAATGAAAGCCTGGACCCACTGATGAGCACTTAATTCTCACCTGAAATGGGAGGGACCAAAACAGCCATTATTCAAAATGATACATGATATCAAATAAAAGGTGACATTTTTGATGTCTTACTTGACATTTTACTTACTGGACACATTTCCACTAACAAAGTCAGGATATATGCAAAATTGTAAATCTCCAGAACCATTGGCGGTGTTGGTCCTCCTCACCATAGATGCGCTGCCAGAGCACAACCAGGCCAGTCATTCCGACGAAGAACAATATTCCTCCTACTACTGTCTTCCACTCGTTGGACGGCTTCTTCATCTCCGCATATGTCTCTTTAAACATAATCCTGTACACTGGGACAGGCAACCAAAGGCAAAAAATGCTGTCAATCAAATAATGTAGGAGAGCAAAGCATAAAACAGCAGGTGTGACATATGCTTCAAAGTGTTACAACAGTGGGTTTAACTTGTTAGTTTAATTGTATCACTAAGCATTGTAATTTTCAGTGCTGTGTAGAGTTGAAATAATCCTTTATATGTTATATATATGTATATGTATATTTATATACATGTACTTAATGTGTCCAATGAAAAAAAAAAAATCCCTCAGAAATGGACAAATCATAAAATAAATACGAACAGGCGAGTTTCTCCTCATTTGAAAGATTGTTCCAGGGTCCTTTCTCCTTCTGTTTCAGGCTCTTGTCAGCATCACTGAGAGTGTCCTGATAAGGTCTGTCCGGTAGAGGGGTATCCCGACGATCCCAGTACAGGGGGACTGACATGTCGGCCTGCTCTGACACTTCTGTGAGATGGCGTGACAAAAATAGCAAGACATCAGATACTTACTCTTATTGTGCCAAAAAGGAGAGAGTGTCCCCTACTGGACAAATAAAGAACCAAGGTGGCATAAAATGATTTGCCTGAGGTACCTGTTGCCACATGAAAAGATCACATAACATTATGTAATGTAGGCATGTAAGCATGTATATACAGACAGCTGACATTAACTGACAAGTCTAAATTAATAAATGGAGAAACGAGTGCAGCTGCTTCTAGACAGGTGCACTGCATGATACAATGAATCAGTTAATATCCTACCAAGCTCTGTAGCATGTATAAACATCCTGAGGAGGCCCAGTTAACCTACATTTTGGATAATTTTAAGATGCAAAGAAAAGACTGAAGTGGCACTGAAGGAGGGTTCATCATTGTGAGAGATGGCAGGAGCTTCATTCACAAAGACTGCTTTACTTAACAGTGACAAGTGACATCTGCCTTTAGATCTGTGGGAAAGATATCAATAAATAGAGTTAGCTGTTCCTCAGGTGACTGATAACATCAATGCCAGACGTGGTCAGATCGAGTCAGAGGGGTCGCAAGCACATTTGAGAGTTAAGTGGTGTAAAACCATAGACATTGGTCTAAAAGTGATAGTCAGATGAGCCCTCCTGCACCATATTCTCATTTTGTACACCAAGAAAATGGTCTAGGCATAAATGCATCAATCCTACAGTGGGGGAGATGGGGGATGGGGGGTCTGGTGGCTCTGTTAGGCTGCAGGGATATTTTGCTGGCATGACTTGGGTCTTCTAAGAGCAGGGGTGTTGAACATAACCACTAAAAGGGCCATATTAAAAAATGTAAGCAAATCTTTGGGCCAGCTGTTTCATTTTTTTTTTTTCGAATGGGCCACTGTTTATTCAAAATATGCCAAAACGGCAACAGCAAAATATGCATTAAATGCTTTTTCTATATTCTAAATAAAAATAAATTGTTTTAGGTTTTTTTTTTTAAACTGCCTATATGCTTGAACTAGACACCAGGCGTCCTTTCTTTTTATGTAACCACTGACCCAGAGATTGTTGTTGGGGGTCAGAACGCACACTATGTTGCAGTGCATACTGGGGACTGTAGTGCATCTCAGGGTGAAATGGGCTAATAGAGAATTCAAATATTTTCATGGGGCAAATAGGACTGTGACTTGGCCCGCAGACCTTGTGTCTGTCCCATGGGTCACGGAGGAAGGGTCACTGCAATTCAATATACAGTTATTCTGACTGATCACTTATCACCAATGAGGATGCATTTCTATCCTGAGGGGAGTGGTCTCCAGCCTCCAGGGCAACAATGCCCCCCATCCACAGGGCACAAGGGGTGATTAAATGGTTTTATGAGTACAATAATGATGTAAATCATGTGCTAGGCCTTCAAAACCAGCAGATCTCAACCCAGGTGAGTTTGTACTGTGTTTGGACCAGCACTTTCCCCCCACCATCAGAACACCATTTGAGGGAATATCTTTTGGGAAAAATAGTGTTCTATCCCTCCAGTACAGATCCACAGATTTGCAACTCATGGTGGCCGAGCACATTACCAAGACACTATGCTGGTTGGTTTTTCCTTTATTTGCCTGCATGTATGTCCACGTCTAACAGTTTCCTTATTACCGTGTCCATGGCTGGCCATCCTGGTACTGCTGGTGCTGAGAGCTGCCACTGCCCGTCTGGACAACAGGCTCCCCACTCGTCCTGCAGTCAGGCGCAGCATCTGAGACACAAAATGAACACAAAGATTATACCACTAGATTATTTGGGTGGTGTGCCGTTCCTGGTACAGCAGGGACACTGAAATGGTTCTGGTATGTTGTGCAGCAGTGTTTCTGTGGTTTCCACCTCTCTGAGAACAGTCTTCCAAAAATATCCAGCCAACAGTGGTCCTGTGATCAGAAACCACTAATAAAGGGCTGAAGGATGCCTAACAAATTGTGGATGGAAACGATGAGCTACAGTTTCTAATTGTACATATAAAGTGGACAGTGGGTGTGCATATTTTTAAAGAAAACAAAAAAACAACACTGTAGCAACACTACAATTTTGGTGTCACTGCTGCACTGAAAACCACTTAAAGTGATGGTCCTATGGTGGTCCCTTTTCATAAATGGATGGATAGTTCCTATCCATCCTATCCAGGTAAGTGTACCTGATATATGAGTGGAGATGCAACAAATGTGCATCTAAAAAACGGGCAACAAAGTGTAAGTATGTACGGTTTGCACAGCCCTGGCATATACAGGTGAGCCATGACCAAATTAGCATTCTAAGTTCAGCGCTCACTGCACTGTTAATTACTCTGAGTCGCTGTGCTGCTTGCTGTGGCTCCAAGTCAGCGTGACTAGGTTATCCTCTTATCATGCTTACCCAACGAGTTTCTATGAATATATTACAAAACGTGTTTTGCTTCGAAATTAGTAGGCTACTGGAGTGCGCTGAAAACCTGAGAGGAGAGAGACATACTCTGTTTATGTTTGTAGAACTCACGTGTGTGTGAACTCAATATTAGCCCTTACTAAGGGTGGAGAATATGACATAAAATACTTTAAGACACAATATGCATTACAAGGTTTAATATGTGTGAATGGGGGAGAAAAAAAAAACAAAAAAAACAGTAATGCCACATTTAAAATGCAATATCAATTATTAATGCAGTTATTTTTATTCAACACTTACTGCACTGCATTAAAACACGCATATTTACGCTGTCATTTTAATTAAACATGCATTTGGTTTTTAAGCACTGACGATATGATAAGCTCAGAAAAGTATTATGTTTGTGATGTAATTTATTACAATAACAATGAGTATTGTAATATTGCCCAGTGCTATTCCGCACCCTAGAGCCATTAGGAATCTCATGCTAAATCATAGGTTTATTTTTATCTATCTGCACATATGGACACCTTACTGTACATATATTATCGCACATCTGGAAACTCCACACCTAGACACATTAGACACTTCAGTACCAATATATGCACATATTTATTCAGTATTGTCATTATATGCTGTTACCTGTGCCTCCTTGTACATTCATTATTGCACTGCCTTTTTATCTCAGGTTATAGATCTGACTGCATATTTTTGTATATTTCTATTCATATCTATGCATGTAGATAGGTTTTTCTGTATATATTCTTTTTATATTGTATCACCCTCATTATTATAACTGTCCAGTGTTGTGTGACTGCTACTGGCTGCTAAATTTCCTTTGGGATCAATAAAGTACTTATCTATCTATCTGTTGGCGATATGGCAGAAGTGTGAAATCAATACTTCAAAAAGTTCTCCCAATATACAATGTGTCACAATATTTTTCACATCTGATTAAACTGGAACAGAAGAAGTAGTGCCATGTTTAAAAATATCTAAATGTATGAATCCAATTATTTACCATAACATACCGTGCCACCCTAAATCCAATTAAACATGACGAATTATGCTCTTGGTCAATATGCAGTTGAGAAGTGGTTTAGGTACTAAAGATATACACAATACGCTCAGAAAAGCTTACTGTGACACACTGCAATATAGTTTTTCACAATGAAGATCACGGTCACATTGCCCAGCCCCATCATCCCCTTTCTTCTTTTGACTGAAATAGGCTACTGCCAATTGTGTTGACGGTTGACACAAAGCAGACCAAGTGTCCTAATGCATTAACCCTCATGTCCTGAACCAAATCCAAATCCCAGCTTGCTCAGTCTGGCTGCCTAATCATCTTGTGCTGCTGGTTACACTAAAACCCCTCCTGGTTTCTCTACACTCTAATATTTTCCTGCTTTAACAAACAGCTTATCCTGTAGGCCTGTCTCATCACTGCAAATAGACATTAGAGCTAGATAATGTGCTGTAAAGTGCATCTCGAGCATACTCTCTTTATAAGACAAGCAAGACAGCTATATGCTCTATATAGGGGCGTAAAACAGAAGGATTTCTGTCTTTCCACAGAGAGTCAGAGGCCCAGGCTGCACACGGCCACTAAAATGGGGGAAATCTGGCAAAAGCTCAAGAGTGGAGCTCTGCACGGAGATAAACAAGCTCAAGTCTTCAGCGCTTTCCTATGAGCATTTTAGACCTGAATGGAAACAAAATCGTTCAAAACGCTACTTTTCTTTCTCAGTGAGATGCAACTGACTGCTGAGCCGATGAAAAACAGCCTACAGGTCCTTTTCCTTCGTTGATTTTTCCCCCACAGCGTCATGACGTGGACGCGCAACGCACTAAAATAAGACAAAACTGCACTTTTAGAAATAAAACGCATTCGCTTTCCTTTGCTTCTGCATGAAAATTCGTACTTATCGATGCCGCCCCATCCTCAAGCAACAGTTATTTCATAGCTAAAACTGCTTCACTTCGTCTCCGTGCACAGTAAGCGGACTGAAGGGATCCTCATCACAGTTACATGTGCGCCATAACTTCTTAATAAGGAGATGCTGTTCTTCCCAAACTTTCCTCCGTCTTCGCTGCCTTTAAGCGTAATGGGAATGTACTCACGGTTTGCCTGAGAGACTGAAAGACCACACGGGAGTAAAAAACAGCACAGGGCGGTGAGCGAACAGCCCAAAAAGTCCTGCTTTCTCCTCAGACTCGGTCGCGCAGCCAACCGTCCAGACTCGGCAGAGAGGGAGCAGAGAGAGAGAGAGAGAGAGAGAGAGAGAGAGAGACGGGATGGGGGGATGGGGGGCTGTAATTCAGTTTACTCTGAGGATTATGTGGAGAGGGCGAATAATCAGACAAGCGCTGTGTGACCGATGCGGATTATGATCGATAATTTGTACACAGTGAAGCGAAGAGGCGACATATCGATTAGTTGACGTTTACCGAGCTTCACTATCCTCTTTTGCTGCTGTCAGAACAGCAGCAGGTCGTTTAACCCTCCTGTTGTGCTCGGCTAACACTCAGTGTTATGTTTTTTTATTCCATTATAAATCAACAATAATACATATATGATCACCTAATGTTGTGTTAGATCTTTTTATGAACTTAAGCTCTTGTGAACATTATAAGTTTTGTAACTTTGTATTTGCTGTTTATGTCCTGCAGGCCTCATACTGCGCGTTTTTTTTTTTAGGGAAAAAACATTACATACATATTATTTTGACTATAACGAATACTAAGATGAAACCTGTTGTAGTGTTTGTCACAGAGTACTTCACTGAAATGTTCACCAAAGTCACTTTTTTTGAAACCAGTTAAGTTTTCTAAACTGTGGCACAAATGTATATACATACACACCGCATCTGTGGCACACAAAGCTAGTTTTTTGTCTCGTGCACACAGCTGGCACCTCTTTCTTTTGACTCCTCCTTCTCTGGTTGCTGTGGATGTACTTGATTTGTGCTTGAAGTCTGTTTTATACACTAATTGTAGTCTTATAGATTCATTTTCAATAACTGGTCATTTTTGACCAGGAACACCATGGGTGTATACACGTTCCATAAAACACACAAATTTTTATAAAAATATTTGAGATTTGTTTTAGGTGTTCAAATACCATGTGTGAACAAAGGCAGGGAACCTCAACTTGTAAATCGGTCAGATTTGACCGGAACACAACAGGAGGGTTAAGATTTTCCTCTGGTTGTTTATTTACTTTACAGCGACCATCATTCTGAGAACTGAGGAAGTGGGCGAGATCCCAAAAGAGGGGAAAAAGTGCTGGAAAACAGCGGAAATGTGGGAGATAATAAGATGGGAAGTAAACAATGGTGAAATCACATCTAAATGAATTAAAGGGGAAGTCGAATGATTTTCAAATTTCTGTATAATTCAGTCGTTAAAATGTACACAAAGTCATTGAGTTTTGATGCAAAATGTTTTGTAGAGTAACTTGCTGACTGATGTCTTTATCGTTGTGGTGATGGGAGCCAGAGGTCGCCATGTGTAATTTACACAAATATAGCCATTTTAGTGACTAATCAATAATGGTAAAATAGTGGTAAATCTGAAAAGATTTCGTAGGTACTGTTTTGCCTCACAGTGTCTTAATGTACATCTGCTGTAATACTTAAAAGCCCAAAATCTGATCTACTGTATTTAAAGCTAATAAAGCATGTCACCATTTCATGTACTGTTTCTGTGATGTAGCATTTAGACTCTTCCGAAGTCTGGTTCTGGTTCCTGAGAGCAGTTCTGACTTGGTAATTGTCTCTAGAATGTAGTTTCTCAATGATCTCAACTGAATAATGCAGATTTTTTTTTAGTCAGTGGAATTCCTCTTTAAGCAGACTTGATGCAGCCAACATACAGTATTGTAAAACTTTAAGACATTTTCATGATGCATCTCACAATATTATTCCTTTTTAGATTTGATAAGTTAGAACAGAAAGTCAGTGCTATATTTTACTGTAAAATAATGCTGTTAGAGTAGTTAAACATTTCACATAGTGCAGTGCACTAACTTCATTAAACAGTTAAAAAAAAAGACTAATTATGCTCCCTTTTGCAATGAAATATGCAGTTCATTTTTTTTCAAGTACTGATGATATTAAGTTAAGTGACCCCCAACTTATTATTATTAGTCCCACAATGGGGAAATTTCACCTCCGCATTTAACCCATCCGTGCAGTGAAACACCACATACACACTGGTGAGCACACACACTAGGGGCAGTGAGCACACTTGCCTGGAGCGGTGGGCAGCCCTACCCACGGCGCCCGGGGAGCAGTTGGGGGTTGGGTGCCTCGCTCAAGGGCACTTCAGTCATGTACTGTCAGCTCAGGGGTTCAAACCGGCGACCTTCCGGTCACAGGGCTGGTTCCCCCATAAAATATATAGTGTATTTCGACCAGAAGTGGAAAATGCGCAGAGAAAATGTACTTAAATGAATGTATAGGTCATCTTAATGAAATCTAATTTTAAAGTAAATGGAATTTTAGAAGCTTTTTCATACAGTAAAAAGTTCAGTTCTTGATTTGTGTCTTGCTGTGTTGGTGGTGATAAATATGTTTATAAGTACTATACGCCAGTCCCAATGTCCAGTATACTGGACACTGAATTTTATGTTTCAAAGGAAACAAAAAAATAAATAAATAAATAAATAAAGAATGTAATGTTATTTAGTACTTAGCAGAAAACATGTTTGATAACAAAAAATAGTTTGTTCTTAAAGTGTCCTGTCTCGGGACTGAGGAGGAAAAGAAAGGGGGAAGTCAAAAGGAAAATACGTGGAAAAACAAACAAAAACACAAAAAAGTTTTTTTAAAAACTTGAGTTTAAAAAGTTATCTTTGAGAGAGAGGAGAAAGTCAAGCTGCTTCAGATCTTAAAAACCTACAGGTGTTTCTGTCCATCCTTCCACTGTGAGAAGACAACTTAGCACTATGGGTCTGAAAGGATGTGTAGCTGTCAAGTAGCCACACATGAGATAAAAAACAAAAAAAATAATAAAAATGTGCAAATTTAACAGACACTGCTGGTGTTCTCAGAACAATGGACTGACCACTCCAGAGTCCAGACTTCAACATCACTGGATGTGTTTGGTACTATCTGGATCATTTGGATCATAAAAAGCAGAAAATGCAACCAACTTCTAAGACTGAACTTTGGAGGTGTGGAAAATATCCTGCAGATTTCTTTGAAAAAAAGAAAACAGGTTTCCCAAAAAATAATGAACACTAACACATGCACTAAATACAGAAAACTAATATTTGTTGACGCGGATTTTAATGCTGATTTTGTGAAGTGAAGAGGCTGCCTGCAGACTCTGGCTGGTATTTCCCACAGCATAAGCAGTCAAAACTAGTCTGCTCGGGATCAGTCTACTGAAGACTACTGCTACAAAAGTAAGTTCTCCACCTCTGACCAAGCGAAACACGGCTCTAACTTCAGCTGCTACAGTGTTTCCACACAAAACACCACTGCATTTAATTTCTGCCTAATGTCAGTAGATCTGAGAGCACATTGTCTGTTTAAAAGCAGGTGGGATGTCAGCTTTGTTCTGTCTGCTGAGTAGAGAGCAGAATTACTAGATCAAAGCAGCATCCTTTCCTTTGTTGTGCATGGTTAGGGCTGCGGATTAATCGAATTGGTCCAAAGTCAAAGTTTAAAACCCTTTCAGACTTTGATCAGACCTGGACTTTTGACTAAAATTCTTTTGTTTTGAATGACCCTATACCTCAATTATGTTTATTTTAATCAAACAAATGAAAACTTAATTTTGTCACTAACAAAATTAACAAAAATCCTAACTGTTTTGGTAGTAAGAGTATTAGCTCATGTTCAGCTGAACTTAAAAACTTTAGCTAGTACGTGACAAGCAAACACAGCTTTGAACGGTTGTACACACAAAAACAATAGCCTTTGTCATTAAAAGTGTGAGGTCAGTGGCCAGAACATATCACCAAGACTGTTTAAGCCATTACACCTCATAGGAGAGCACAGCTGCACAAGATTAATAAACTTGTACACTTACCTTGATTCAATGGAAATGGTCACACAGAGGCCTCTGTCCTCTTATCCGCTGTCCTTATCTGTCCGCTGGGTGACGTCACAGCTATCCTGGAGAGGGGGAGCAAAGCCGGAGTAAAACCTGTAGAGAGAAAAGAAAGAGTTAATTAAAGCTATAGCTAAATATGAATGTATTTACAAGTAAAGAAATTAGAAATGTTGCTGACATTTCATATGCTTATATTATTGGTTGATGGTAAACCAGTGGTGTATTCTTACCCTGTAATCTGTATTGGTATGTTCCAGCCTCAATTAGGGTGGGGCTTAGAGTATAAATCCAGACCACAGGGGTTACTGGGGTTAGTAAAGGGCTAAGTCGTCAGGAGCTAAAGTGTGTAGTCTCATTGGGTGTGTGGCCTTCAGACATGCTTAAGTATATCAGACTGATATTTAGGCTGTGAGCAGGAGAGACTGCTGAGAAGCTAATAGTCACCTTAAGAACTGCTGCAGTTCTGTTTTTAAACACTTAACACTGCAGAGCCCTGCTGGTGACATCCTGTATAACTAAAAATAATGCGTGCCCACAACTTACTAAGTCGTGGCCATGACTTAGTAAAGCGTGGGACCGAGATCCTAATATGTGGTCATGATCTCATTCCCACGCCTTACTAACTCGTGGCTACGCATTAGGATCTTGTTCCCACACTTTACTTAGTCGTGGCCATGCATTATTTTTATTTATACACAATGTCACCAGCAGGGCTCCGAAAAGTAAATAAAAATAATGCATGGCCACAACTTAGTAAGGCGTGGGAATGAGATGATTAAGTCATGGCCATGACTTAGTAAAGCGTGGGAACAAGATCTTAATGCGTGGCCACAACTTAGCAAGGCGTGGGAATAAGATGATTAAGTCGTGGCCATGACTTAGTAAAGCGTGGGAACTAGATCCTAATACGTGGCCACGACTTAGTAAGCCGCGATCTCGTTCCGACGCCTTACTAAGTCATGGCCACGAATTAGGATCTCGTTCCCACACTTTACTAAGTCGTGGCCACGCATTATTTTTATTTATACAGGATGTCACCAGCGGGGCTCCGTATAACACCGCTGTGAATAGGTAAGGATCTTCTTTACTGGGTGAGCGACGCTTAATAAATGACTACGCTTCCTGCTCGTAGCCTCACACTACTGGTGACACTACTTATGGTGACGACGGTGCACCAAAACAAATGGTGGCAGCGGTGAACCTCGGTG